ATTTAAGTACTGTTAACTTTATATAATAGTATTTGTATTGGGAAGTGGTGTTTCCAGTTGTATAACAAAGAATAGTTATACTATGTCAGACATAATAGTGACATTATTCTTTTTATTTATTTATTTATTTTGAGATGGAGTCTCTCTCTGTTGCCCAGGCTGGCATGCAGTGGCATGATCTAGGCTCACTGCAACCTCTGCCTCTTGGGTTCAAGCAGTTCTCCTGCCTCAGCCTCCTGAGGAGCTGGGACTACAGGCATGTGCCACCATGCCCAACTAATGTTTTGTATTTTTAGTAGAGATGGGGTTTCACTGTGTTAGCCAGGATGGTCTCAATCTACTGACCTCCAGATTCACCCACCTCTGCCTCCCAAAGTGATGGGATTTCAAGCATGAGCCACCACACCTGGCTGACTTTATTATTCCTTATTTGAAGATTATGTATGATTATAGGAGAGGTGCATGGGATTAAATTGACATGGGGTGGACTTGTGATGGTTATTACTGTCAATTTGATTGAATTAACGATGCAATATTGATTCTAGGTGTGTCTGAGGGTGTTTCCAAAGGAGATTAACATTTAAATCAGTGGGCTGGGGAAAGCAGACCCACCCTTAATCTTAGTTGGCACTATCTAATCAGCTGCCAATGAATATAAATCAGGCAGCAAAACGTGAAAAAAACTATTCTGGCCTATATTCCTAGCCTACGTCTTTCTTTTATGCTGGATGCTTCCTGCCTTTGAACAATGAACTCCATGTTCTTCAGTTTTACTACTCAGACTGGCTCTCCTTGATCCTCAGCTTGCAGACAGCCTGTTGTGGGACATTGTGATTGTGTAAGTTTATAATTAATAAAATCCCCTAATGTATATATATTACTTCTGTCCCTCTATGAGAACCCTGACTAATACAGTCTGTTTCCCCTAATATTCATCAAATTCTGTACCAGTAAGTCAAAGAAGGAGGCCAGACATTGTATTTTATTTCTAGGTCTCAGTAAATTCATTGTTTCCCTAGTCTAGTATCTAGTTAGTAAAAACTAGGAAGAATGATATATAGGAGATGTGCTGATAAATGTTCAATGCCTTGATAAATATATAGTTTTTAAAAAGCTAATTTTTAATGTTTGCCCACTTCCATTGTGTAAGTACACCCACCATGGCCAATTTTGGCAAGAGATGCATGCATATGATCTGCTCATGTGAGCTAGTATGAATAGCTTCAGCACACTACTGGACATAATTGAGAATAAAGGGCTAGAGACTGTATTATATACTCCTTATGTTTAGCATTATGGTCTCTCAACAGATCTTTTCTTTAGCTACTGCTGCATAATGTTACAATAAAGTGTAATGTGACAGTACCCAACCTCGGCTGTTGCCCATATTTCTTGCTTTCTGAGGCCTCAACCTGGGATGTTGTGAGAATTGCTAGCTGCTTGTGTATGTGGTAACTGAACATGTGAGTGAGACATTGATCACCCACTAAGGAGGTCTGTCTTGAAGTAATTAACATGGTTACAAAAATGGTTAAAATTAACATGGTTAAAAAAGTTACAAATGATAAAACTTTTGGTTCCAGGGGCCCAGAGTAAACACCATTAACAGGTAATTCCCCTTTGACCTCCCACTGAGAGGGCCATCAACACAAAGTTTACATAAGCAAACAAAATAGAGACAAAGGAATGTAGGGTAAACAGATTTAACTGGGAAAGCCTTTATCATCCCTTTTTCCCTATGCTAATGTAATGAACCAGCTGCCTTCAGCCTGTCTAAATAAAACCTTCCAGCCTTCCAAAAGGTTTGAGACTATAATCTATAACTTTCCCTAATATTTCCCTACTATTTTGTCAGCCACCCTGATTGAACCTCAACATGTGAGGATGTTATCATGCAATGGATTCACCTTTGGTCAATGAGCAACAGATAATGGCAGATAAGTGATACCTTTTCCTCTCATGATCAGACAGTTTTGAATTATAGTTTACCTAGATCTTTATGTAAGGCAGGGAGGGGTGTGTGCTCCCATCTGGACTAGGGGATTGTTACCTACAGTTTTACCTGATGCATCATGTAATCTTGCATTAGTTGTCACTACATACTTATTTCACTTTTATCAAATTAACAACTTGCACAAAACCTTTTTTCCAAGATCTTCTTTCTGGAAAAAGCAGCTTAAGACTCCTTAATATCTTCCTGTAATTCAGTCATTGAAGACCATGAGGATAGACTGAGATGACACCAAATAGCATTGAGTCAGTTTTGCTGTGAGTAAACTTTTTATCTCTATGGATTTATCCCTTATCTGAACATTTTATGTAAATAGGATTATATAATATGGAGTATTTTGTCATTGACTTCTTTCACTTAATAAGGTTTATGAATATCAGCATATTTCAGTACTTCATTCCTACGACTAAATAATATTCCATTACATAAATGTATCACATTTTCCTTACCTGTTTGTCAGTTGATAAACATTTGGATGTACAGTATCTGACAAAATTCTATTTTGGAATCATACAGAAACAATGCTGCTGTGAACATTTGTGTCTGTGTTTGTGGGTGGACATATGTGTTCAGTGCTCTTGGATATATAACTAGTAGTGAAATATCTGCTAATTCTGTTTAACAATTTGAAGAACATTCAAACTGTCTTTCAGAATGGATGTTCCATTTCACAATCCCATTAGCAATGTATGTGGAGTTCCAATTTTTCCACACCTTACTAATTCTCATTATTTTCTGTATTTTTTATTTTAGCCATCTTAGTAGATTAAAATGGAATATCATTGTGGTTTTTTCACTTCCCTAATGACTAATTACATTGAGAATTATTTCATGCATTTGTTGTCTATTTCTACATCTTCTCTGAAGAAGTTAGATGTACTTATTTTATTGTTGTTGCTGTATCAGTATTAAGATAATTAATATTTTTTTAAAAAAATTCTTATTTTTGTGGTATAGAAACTTCTTTTTTTATTAAAATGAGTATTGCAAAGCATTTGGTTATAGCCTTCAGAACAGCAGGGAAAACCTAGTGAGATTATGCAATAATAATAAGATCAATTCCAGCTCTTTATTATTTGAATATGTTTTCCATATTAAGGAAAATGATGGGACACATTTATTACTTGGCGTCTGAGTGCTAATATACAGGCCCTATGGCTTTGTTCTTTTAGAGAGAAGGTAATTAGCTGAAGATATGTAGTTTGCCCAAGATCACCCAGCAAGTTATTGGCATAATAGAAATGTGAACACATGGGCTCTCAGTTTCCCATCTGTTGCCTGGTACATTTGGCTGCTTTGCTAGGAGTGGGTGTATGTACGTATATTTATGTTGCATTTCAGGAATGAGCAAAAGAAAGTGGGATGGTGTGTGCAATTGTTTCAAACAGACACTGGAAAGTGGACATAATATCATTTTTTTCTTTATGCACATAAAAATATATTGAAGGTGGTATAGGTAATTCTAACACTCTAAAAGATGAATGGCATTGTAAATCCTCACATCATACTTCAAGCTTTTGGATATGTAATTCTTTATTAACTTAAATACAGCTAAATAAAGCAGTAAAAACCGATTTCATATTCATAACAACTTTAATTCTGATAAACTCTACAGACATGCAAATATTTGAAGGTGAACGTGGGTAAACTAAGCAATAAGCCCATACCTACTTGTGTTCTGGCACCTTGCTTCAGTATTAAAAATCGGCACACAAATAAAAAAGAAGATTCCTGGTAATGCTATTTAGGAAGAATATTCTTTTACCTTTTTAATAAATGCTTCTCTTCCTCCAGCAACATAAAGACCATAAATGAGAATAATCATATTGTATAAATGTAGGAAAAAAATATCTAAAACAGAAGAAACCTAAAGAAATATAAATTATGCTCTTTTTGTGTTTTTAGACATGATCATATTCATTTTCTACCTACTTTCTTTAATGTAAAAATACACTCCGTGACAGACCACTAAGATAGCATGTGAGATCAATTTACATTAAACAATGGTAGCTATACATAATGCTAGCTAGCATGTTCCTCTTATCTTCAAATACCCCAAAGTGAAGAGTGTTCCAGTAAAATAACCTGAATGGTATTTATGCTAATTGTGCATATATTGCATTTTTCTATTTAGCATATCACTATATTTTACATGTTTCAATTATTTTAGTAAATGTGCTTTATTTTATACATTAATTTAAAAGGCTAGTATTATATGTCAAATTGATGTCTATTGAGAATTTCATGGTTAATATTTAGTTATAGAATAATCATACATAAAATTATAAAAATCTAAATTTATAATTACCAGTTTAATATACAAAAATTAGAAATGACACATTTCTGGATGGACTTATAAATCATGCACCACACCTGGATACATGTTAAAAACTGTATCCTCTATAGAGAAACTTGACAACCAGCAGCATACTGGATTTAAACACAGTCTATGTATTTATGTAGCCATCATGTGGACCTCTTAGATTTTTGAATAAAAGTAAAACAAAGATGTTATTATTATAGTTTCTCTAATTTCTTTTTGAAGAAATTATCAATCAATAATCAAAATAAAATAAATTTAAAGAAATTGGTTCCATAACTTGTTGAAATATGATATATAAACCAACCAAAAAGTAGAAAATCTTCAACACAGCAACACAATGTAAAATTAATATTTCCTATGAGGTAGAAAAGAATATTATTTTATGTAAAGAAATGTATTCATTTAAATGAGGAAGCCAGTCTAGCTTGTTGGAGGTCTTCATCATGACCCCTGGGTGTTCTCTGGGCCAACTTGTCATTGGTATGTACCCTGTAAAGAATGCCAACTATTAAGGTATTCTTTAACAATCTCCTATTATTTTATACAGTTTCTATTTTTACAGTATATATGTCAACTTCAAGGTTTTCAAGGTGATTCACAAACTGTAAATTAACCTGGTAATATAAATTCCAAAATCACGCCAAAGGGTAGGAAATGAACACTTACTTTTGTTGAGTTGTAGCATTTTGCACAAAAGAATGATTTGGCAGCAATGACAAGTGACTTAGCATATGACATTTTGAGGCCAAACATCTTCCAGAAAGTGTAGGATTCTAGTTTTTTTCTTCTAGGTTGGGGGCTATGGAGCCTCAGAGAAGTGACTTTCAAGCCTCTGGCAGCTAAAACTCAAGGAAATAGAAGATAAGTGGATTTGGCAATGACACCAGATAAAAAAATATAGTTGAACTTTTCATAGACTATTTTTATATTTCCCACTGCCTACTATTAATTCCCAGAGATCCACTTTTCTTTTCCTTTACCATTTTCTATCCAAGAGAGCTAAGGGAGCATACAACATCAATAACACTGCAAAACAGTGAGGCTGACAAGAAAGTCTCTTCTAACACTGAAGTCTAGAAGTAAAAGAACTGTAAAACAGAATCAAGAGAATAGATAAGGAAATAGATATGCTGATAAGGCTGATTTAACTTTTCTACTGTGTGTGTGTGTGTGTGTGTGTGTGTATGTGTGTGTGTGTACAGGTATGAAATCATCACATTTTGCCCCATAAATATGTACAAATATTATTTGCCAATTTAAAAATTTGAATCATTTTTAAAAAGAGTATAGACTCTAGTCTAGGGAAAGTCTCTTATTTTATTTATTTTTTTATAATATGTGAGATATAGAGCATTTTATATAGAGACACAAGATAAATTTTATGTACAATTTCATTATTTCATATTCTTTATTTTATAATAATTTTCTACACAGTTCTTGTCAGTATACACGGTGCCACTTGTTTCTTTCCATCAGCTGCCATTTTTCACATTAGTTCCTTTAGATATAATATAGATTCTAATTTTATTCTATATTTTTGCATATACTGTAACTACAGACTTCTTTTCACATAACATTCCAGAAGTTTTTACTAAAATGTGCACTTTGATTTTCTAGTTGTTTATACATGGTTGCAGTCACACTATTTACCTTCAAGTGTTATAAGTAAATGTGTTAAAATACAGTCTTTTGACTCCTCTCTGTAGCACAAAATGTGATTTTAGCTTGAAACACATCCCTACTAAAAGATAAAATGTCATCACAGCCTCTGCTGAACTTGTCACCTTGTAGAGACATCTTTCCCTGTTTCAGACCCAAGTGTTTTATAGTACAAGTAACTGCTGAGATTTTTAAAGGAGTTATTAAATATTACTAAACTTAGGTTCATAAATTTGAAAGACTATAAAATAGATGGATTTCTTCATCTATATGATGCTAAAATTGTCAGAAGAAATAGAAAGCTTGAAAGAAAGATTATCATCATGTAAATTAACATGTTAGAGGCAAAATAGTTCTGTACTTCACCCCTCCACCACACACACACAAAAATTCAGTCCTATAGCCTTTTTGTTTTTGTTTCTTTGAGATGGAGTCTTGCTCTGTCAACCAGGCGGGAGTGCAGTGGCACAATCTCGGCTCACTGCAATCTCCACCTCCTGGGTTCAAGCTGTTCTCCTGCTTCAGCCTCCTGAGTAGCTGAGACAACAGGCATGTGCCACCACACCCCGTTAATTTTTGTATTTTTAGTAGAGTTGGGTTTTCACCATGTTGGTCAGGCTGGACTTGAGTTTCTCGCCTTGTGATGTGCCCACCTTGACCTCCCAAAGTGCTTGGGATTACAGGAGTGAGCAACCTCACCCAGCCAGCCCTATAGCCTTTTACAGGTGAGTTCTACTATAGTTTCTTTTTTAAAAAAATTATTTTTTAAGAGTTCACAGATAATATGGTATATATTTTTGGTGTACAACAGGATGTCTTATATATATATATATATATACAATGTATATATATATATATATACATTGTAGAATAGCCAAGTCAAACAAATTTACATATCCATTACCTCATATGGTTGTCATTTTTATGGTGAGTATATTTAAAATCTACTTTGTTAGCATTTTTCAGGAATACAATATATTCTTTTTAACTATAGTCACTATGTTGCACAACAGATCTCTTGAACTTATTACTCCTAACTGAAATTTTGTAACCTTTTCCTAACATTTTCTCAACCTCTTCCTCACTACTGACCCAGTGCCTGGTAAGCACCATTCTATTTTCTACTTCTGTACGATCAACTTTTTTAGATCCTGTACATGACTGAGATCATGTGGTACTTGCCTTTCCATGAAGGGCTTATTTCTCTTAACATAATATTCTCTAGCTTCAGCCATGTTGTCTAAAATGAAATAATTTCGTTTTGTATGCCTGAATGTATTCCATCATGTATATGTACCACATTTTCTTTATCTATTCATCCATTGATAGATACTTGTGGTGACCCTGTAACTTGGCTATTGTGAATAATGCTGCAATAAAAATGGAAATCCAGACATCTCTTGGAAATACTAATTTCATTTCTTTTTGATATATACCAAGTAGGGGGATTGATGAATTATACTATAATTCTACTTCTAATATTTTGAGAAATTCCCATACCTTTTTAATAACAACTATACTAATTTATATCAACAATGTGTAAGTGTTCATTTTTATCCACAATGCCACACTTATTATTTGTCTTTTTCACCAAGGCAATTCCAGCAGGTATGAGGTAACTTCTCATTGTAGTTTTAATTTGCATTTCCCTGATAATTAGTTATGTTGAACATTTTTTCATATACCTGTTGGCAATTTGTATGCCTTCATTTAAGAAATGTCTATCCAGGTCTTTGCCCATTTTTAAGTTGGATTATTTGTTTTCTTTTCATTGAGTTGTTTGAGCTCTCTCCCTCTTTTTTTTACAATGGAGTTTCTCTCTTGTTGTCCAGACTGGAGTGCAATGGCAAGACTTCAGCTCACTGCAACCTCTGCCTCCCAGGTACAAGGGATTCTCCTGTCTCAGCCTCCCAAGTAGCTCAGTTTATAGGCATGTGCCACCAAAACCAGGTAATTTTTTAGTATTTAGTAGAAATGGGGTTTCACCATATTAGTCAGGCTGGTCACAAACTCCTGACCTCAGGTGATTGGCTGCCTGGGCCTCCCAAAGTGCTGGGATGTACCACCATAACTGGTCAAGCCCTTTATATATTTTAAATGCAAACCCTTTATTTGATGTATGGTTTGCAAATGTTTTCTCCCATTTTTTAGGTTGTCATTTTGCTCTGATTTTTTCATTGTCTCTACAGAAGCTCTTTAGTTTGATGTAATTCCATTTGTCTATTTCTTTCTTTTGTTGCCTATGTTTTTGAAGTCTTATCCAAAAACTTATTGTCCAGGTTAATCTCATGAAGTTTTCCCCCTAGTTTCTTCTAATGGTTTAATAGTTCCAGGTGTTATATTTACATCTTTAATCCATTTTTTATACTTAATTCATTTATTTTTAAAAATTTATATTAATTTTTATGTATTGTATAATATAAGGGGTCTAATTATAGTCTTTTGCCTGTGGAGATCCAGTTATCCCAGCAACATGGTTAAAAATCAGTTGGTTATAAATGCATGGATTTATTTCTGGGCTCTGTGTTCTGTTCCATTGGTTTATGTGTTTGTTTTTAGGCCAGTATCATACTGTTTTCATTACTATAACTTTGCAATATATTTTGAACACAAATCATGTGATATTTTTCAGCTTGTTCTTTTAACAAAACATAACATTGACTATTTAGGGTTTTTTGTAGATTAATATAAATTTTATGACTTTATTTCTATGAAAAAATGTCATTGGAATTTTTATATGGCTTGCATTGAATCTGTAGATTACTGTGAGTACTATGGAGGTATAAAAAAATATTAATTCTTCCATTCCATGGACATAAGATGTTCCCATTTACTTGTGTTTTCTTCAGTTTTTTTCACCAATATATTCTAGTTGGTGTACAAAACTTTCACCTCTTGGTGAAATTTATTTCTAAATTTTTATTTTGTGTAGCTATTAAAAAATGAAACTTTTCTAGATTTTTTTCAGATAGTTCACTATTTGTGTATAAACAATGTTAATAATTTTTGTGTATTGATTTTGTATCCTAAATCTTTATGAATTTATTTATTAGTTCTAACATTTTTTGGTGGAGTTTCACTCTTCTCTGTATGAGATCATGTTATCTACAGAGAGGTATAATTTAACTTCTTGAATTCCAATTTTAATGCCTTTTCTTTCTTTTTCTAGTTTAATTGCTCTGGCTAGAGCTTCCAGTACTATGTTGAATAGAAGTGGTGAGAGTGGGCATATTTTTTTTTTTTTTTTTTGAGATGGAGTTTCACTCTTGTTACCCAGGCTGGAGTGCAATGGCACGATCTCGGCTCATTGCAACCTCCGCCTCCTGGGTTCAGGCAATTCTCCTGCCTCAACCTCCTGAGTAGCTGGGATTACAGGCACGTGCCACCATGCCCAGCTAATTTTTTGTATTTTTAGTAGAGATGGGGTTTCACCATGTTGACCAGGATGGTCTAGATTTCTTGACCTCGTGATCCACCCACCTCGGCCTCCCAAAGTTCTGGGAAGACAGGCGTGAGCCACCGCGCCCGGCCCCCGCATCTTTATTTTGTTTTGGATCTTAGAAGAAAAGCTTCCAGTTTCCCTCATTGAGTATAATGTTCACTTGGCCTTGTAATATCTTGCCTTTATTGTGTTGGGGTACATGCTTTTTATATGTTTTTGTTAAAGAGTTTTTATCATGAAAAGGTGTTCAATTTAGTCAATTGCTTTTTTTTGTAGCTATTGAGATTATCATTTTATTTTGGTCTTTCATTCTGTTAAGCTTGTATTTTACATTTATAGATTTGTGTATGTAGAATCATCCTTACATCACAGGGATGATTCCCACATGATCATGGCAAATTAACTTTTTAATGTGCTGCTGAATTGGTTTGCTAGAATTTTATGAGGATTTTTTACTATATTTTCAATTAACAGAAAATCACTCTTTTAAAGAACTTCTCTGTAATAGGGGAAAAGAGGAAAACTTGGCAAAGCATTTTACACAAATGAGGTAAAGGCAAACCAACAAAAGGGAATTGTGTGCCAGTCTCACATATTGATTCAGATGTATAATATCTTAATGCCACAAATTTCTAGATCTAATGAGAAATTAAAACCAATCAGCTATGATCAGGTAAAATTTATCCCAGAATTGCAAAATTAGTTCATTACCAAAAACTTTATCAATATATTTTAATA